ATTGCTGCAGTTCAAACACGTCAATACTACAAAGTCTAAGTAAACGTTTAAAGATTCATCCACTCCTGTTTCTGAAAAGGCTCTTCAGTTTTAAACCAATTTTTTTGGCCAAATTCTATTACATTAGAATTATTTTACTGAAATGGGTTATTAAATATCTGATCATTTTTCCTTAAGGCAAAAAACTTTCTTTTTAAGAGAGTACAGGCTGATTGATATTCCTGTTCGCATATTGTTAGGAGTCATTGTGATGGTTGTAGAATGTTAGTTTTTATAATTTGTAATGGATTGTGGTTGCTTGTTTAAAGCCGCTTAGCATCGCTGCATTCTGTACACTGATCAGTATTACTAACGTTGATTTGCATATTTTTTGCAAGAATGGACGTACTGACATTATGGTTTAGAATGACTTCATTAGATCCGTTCATGCAACTCACATGTTCATAATGCCAGATGAAGATCATGGTCTCAGTGACCACCTTACTAATGGCCTGCGTAATGAACTTTCAAAATTGTGTGAATTAAACATCTTAAATAACTAATTGTTTGCGATCAAAACGATGCCTTTTTTGTAAATATTTATTAAACAACGGTTGTTTTGTTTTTGGCATGCAATACTCTCTCTAATAAAATATTGAGTTGCAGATAGATACGTTACCTATCGCTGCAGAGCGTATACGTTTATCCAACTTCCTAAAATGGTAAAATATAAAGATGAGAGTGGAGATTCTAAAAATGCAAAAAAGTGTACCAAAAATTTCCAGACTTTTATAGAATAGCTTGTATGAAGAGGGACTTTTGTTAGTGGGTGACTGAGCTTCAATTATTTCCATTTGGGTTCGATCAAATGAGTAGTTATTTCGGGTTCATTTCTCAGGACAAGCTTAGCCACTGCAATCTAACTCTTCGCATTTCTGTTAGTTTTGATAAGCGCAATACATTCTCCAGGGCATTAATTGCTTCTGATAAACCCCTTTAGGCTGTTAATCAAGTTTCAAACGATGGACGGAGAAAGAATGTGCGAGAAACCGAGACTTGATTCGTAAGTAGAACTAGTGGGACGAAATGATAATAGGGCGCAAGGGTTGCCCAATAATATTTGTTGACAAAAATTTTATTAAG